GGCCGGATTATCTGATGACTTCACGAATTTCCACTGATTAGGACTTGATTGGTTTCGAATCTGTTGCACGCGATTGGCTACAAACACATGAAATCTTYGTGCTTCGTTGTTTATKTAACCCAAGGCTACTTGACTGTCTGWCCAGAAAGTTTCCTGCATGTGTGTGAATTCAAGTTCGTCTTTCAGTGTAGAACTGATCTTGACTGATAACAATGCTGCTGTAAGTTCCAGGCGAGGAATAGTARTAGGCTTTAATGGAASCACGCGTGCCTTACCCAWAACAAATGAGCAGTGTACTTCATGACGTTCATTGATCAGTCTTAAGTACGAGCATTGACCATAGCCTTGAMTGCTAGCATCAGAAAAATGATGTAACTCAACTGTACTAGGCTCGCCAAAGTCTTGAGGCTTGTAACATCTATCGATGTGAAGATTCKCTAAGRATGGAAGAGTGCTAATCCATCTTTCCCATCGTGTTTTGAGGGACTCAGGAACAGGTTCATCCCAGTCGACGTTGTCTCTCGTAAGTTCTTGTAGAATTTGTTTTCCAGTGAGAATAACAGGTGCTATGAACCCCAGTGGATCATATRTAGAACTGACCGTTGAGAGGATCCCACGTCTGTTAAAGGGTTTACTTGGAATGTCTATATTAAACTGAAATACATCGTTCTCAACGCTCCATCGTACTCCCAACGCACGTTCAACGGGAAGGCTTTCCTGTTATAGGTCGATCTCTTTGAGGCCTTTGGCTCTGTCTTCAGCGGAAATGGATTCAGGAGAATATACAGCACATGCGTGCGCCTTTGAGTTGCGTCATTTGTATCTAATACGAATTGCGTCGTGTAAACCAACCCTACAATAGTCAATTTACACAAAGCAATTCGTGTCATGAGCATTTCGCGCCGTGCAATCCGGCCTTTCGAAGCACGGCGCATAGCGCGCACGCTTTCTATTTCTTCGTCAGCGTAATATTAATCAATGTAACATGTGAATTATAATCATATATTCTTTCGATGTAATATAAATGTTTGATGTATAGGCTTCCCGAACTCAAAAKGCTTCAGGGTCCTCAAACAATATCAGAATAAAACCAACACYCAAGAAAACTRAGYGCTCAAGTGAAAAAGCTAGGCAATCGCGGTCAGTTGGGACCGTCGCTGCCAAAGCTCAACCACCTCTRAATAAGAAAAAGAGCCATGATACATCAGCTTTGGAAAATCGAATTCGGTTGGGACCGTTGCTAAAGCTAAAACAACGGACATTACAAAAGCGAAGATGAATCGGTCTTTGTCTTTGAGTACTGTGGCAAAGTCAGCAGCAAGTCCTGCTGTCATGAGCACGAAGAAGAGCACCCCGCCCACAGCAAGTAGGACAGGAAAAACTGCTAAGAAACTAATGCCATTGAAGACCRATTCAAAGCCAAGGCGTGCTGAACATGCCTTTGCTACTGCCAAAATTGAACYGACAAAGAGAACGCTTCGGGCGAAAGGTGGAAACAAGCTAGCAGCAGTGGCCTTGAAGAAAGCCTCTACTAGCCAAGGCCACTTGTCTAAGGATAAGAAAGCTTCTTCTAACACTTCCATGAAGCTTCAGGTCAGAAAAGACTTGACTCTTTGATCTTCCCTTACTGTGTGACGTACTATATATATTTCTACTGAAGTTGACATGATTTCTTAGTTTCTTAGTTAATTGAAAGGCCCGACCCCCGGGAGTTAAACGGCAAAACCGAGGATTTAGCGCGCCTTAACAGCCCTGCACAGGGATACGGGTAATTCAACGCGTACTAGAAAGCTTTCTTCAACAATTTTAACAGCAAATCTGTCCTTGCAGGGAAGGCAGGAGTTAAAAACTACGTAAATGTCATATTCCCGCCCTATTCCCGAGGTTTAGGGGGTAGATGTTCCTTTTTGTAGTCCTCTTTGCATGGTTTGGGCGTAATCCGGTTTTCCCATTACAAACCACGTGTCATTCCCTAGAGTATTATTTCTTTTTTTAACGGTTGCGCATGAAAGGACAGATGAATATGGATACAACCCAAACAAAGAATCTTATTCTCAAGTGAATCTGAAACGGGAAAACATTACGAGGGCTAAAGAGGTGTATTGACTAGACTAAGTGCATTATGATAAATGATTAGGTATCCCGCAAGACAGCCAATGGTTTGGCAGGAGCTCCTTCAGCAGGCTCGAGTCAGCTGCCTGGGAAACGAGCTGAGGAAACAAACGCCAAGAAACCAGACAGAAGTACTGCAAACTCATCAAGACCAGGAGTTATCAGGAAGAAATCCGTCACCTCTGATGAAGGTAAATCAAGTTTTATTATTCAAGACATTTTGCTGTCACGTTAACCATTGTAGTATAAAAGATGCCACTAGCATAGAGAAATCTCGATTGTAGAGGGAGGGGATTGGGGTTTGGGTGGAACAGGGTACCAGAAATAAATTGAACTGTATTCTCAAGGTGAAAGACAGTTTTTTGACAACATTTTTAAAAAAGATGGCTGAAATTGRTAACTTATTGCGAGTATCATAGTAGGTGATTTCAAAATGGATATAATTAAGTGGTAATTGAACTTCGTGTCATGCAATTTTGGGGCGTCCATTCCGGACTGTTTTAAGACGTCAGYCTTGGGCTWAACAATTTGAATGATGAAAAAAGTTTGAAACCAAGATTGATAAACTTGGCCCATTTTGAAAGTTGTGTTTTTCTACATTAAAAGTCACGAGATCAACTGATGTCATCAACAMCATGCTTAAAATGTTAAGGAACCCAGTCATAACCTCTAAGCCAAATCTCGTAGATCCATGATCAAACACATCTAAGATATCAAATTTTATGTGTTTTGCCAGTTTCCTCTAAATTGCCAAGCCTTAACACCCTTGAGATGGTGCAAAGCCTCTATAAATCAGAAGTTATTTTAT